GGACAATTCCAAAGAAAAAGATAGATATCCACCACCGCAGATCTACCAGCGGCACCAACTCCGTCTTGGATTCGATGAGGGATTACAGCTTTAGCTACCAGCACCCAGTGCACTACCACGAGAGCCACCTCGTCAATCACGCAAAAGGGAGCCTGCTGTCGTCGGTTCTGCTTCTAACGGCCCTTTCCTTCCACAGTCTCTTCGAGGCACTCGCTATTGGGGTGGCGACCGACACCGCGTCAATCACCTCGACCACGTCGGCCGTCCTGGCGCACAAGGCATTCGCGGGATACGCACTCGGCTCCGCAATGGTTGCCTCCCACATGAGAGAACTGCACGTCCTTGTATTGAGCTTTGTCTTTGGCCTTTGCAGCATCGCAGGCGTCTTTCTAGGAATTTTCCTCTTACCAGCAATCGATGCTGACAACAGTGTCACAGTAATTGGAATCATCCAGGCGATGGTGTCCGGCACGTTTTTGTACGTTTCCATCGTCGAGATCGCAATGAAAGAGCTCATGACGCATAGAGAGGGCAAAAGTGACCTGCCGATACAAACATGGCAGATTCGAAAGCTTTTGGGCTTTTTGGTAGGTTACTTGATGATGTCGGTCCTGGCCATATGGGTATGACAATTCGATTTAAACTGTTATCAGCGTCAAGATTGAAAATTCTTGTTGTTGTTCAATAAATATTGTAGATTCTTGGTAAACGAACAATTTGATTTTAATTCCCCTTGAAACACAATCTTATGGTCTGGAATCATTACTGTAGTGGTTCTTTCGTTGAAATCTGTCCAACAAAGATATCTTTAGTGGCACAGTACTTGTTGGCGGCAGAATTGTACTAGTAGTGCAACGAGGAGGATAAGGAAAGTTTTACTTCCTCTAGTAGTACCACTCCAATATGTGTGTCCACTTTGCACATATACTATTGAAAAAAGATCAACAATTGAGCAATTAGAATGCTTCTTTTTGCACTTCATACTAGATTTGCATTAGTGCTATATGGTTGTATTATTGCCATTAGTCTTGTTGTGCCAGCAGTAAGATTGGAATAAGCATTCAAACAGAGCCATTTTTTGTCGTACTACTACATAGATTTGATTTTATCATTTGGAACTGTTCTACCAGTCAGTTAAAGACTGGACTCACAGATATAGAAAGCCAAAAAATAAGTATTGATTCATGGCAATTTTTACTATCATTCTTAAGGAAAGTTTTCTTGTATGGGGGGTCATTTTTATTCAAAAAAGCCAGCAAGGAGTTGCACCCAACCATTGTAATTGCAACTTTTGGTTTGTCATGTTAATTGAGAGTAATTTTCATTTGTGAAAATAAAACAATTTTTACTCAACACTGCACCACTAATTGCCATACATAGTGGTAGTACCCATCAATGCCTTTTCAAAGCAAAAAAGATTCTGGTATTCTTTAGGTTTCTCCACTACTAGTACTAGAATTACAGTATAGTGCTGGTTTATAGCGTGGAGTGGATACTAATAGGAGGGGCACACAAATTATTAGCAATGGGTCCGTACCTAGTAACTCTTTGTACTCTATATCCATGCAAATATTGTTAAATTCAATTCAAAGAAGAAAAATAGAACCGCCACTAGCAGATTCAGAGATCATAAAGATGTGCAACATGAGTTCCATCATGTTTGACAAAACTAGAACCATACTACTAGTAGAGAGAGGAACACAAAAAGTAGCACTAAAAAAGAGACACTGCAATGTAAAACCACAAACAGGAAAGAAGACACAGACATCTGATGAATAGTTCTAAAACAAATTTTATCTTTTTGTGTAGCAGGAAACAAGAACTATGGATTTAGAGAAGAACAAAATGAAGAAGAATTCAAGCTAAAAATGACATTCATCCTCACAACAACAAGTTATCTTTCCACTGGAAACCAAATGAGGATCTAGATTCTTTGTAGTCAGAACATTTAATCATTTCAAGAATGCCCACCCCCTCTTTGTAAGAAAGAATCATGTTGAAAAATCTGATGCTGGGGAATTCTTGAGTGGTTGTTGCATTGCTCTGTCACAAAATGATGTTCTAGTACCTCCTTTGTTGGCTTGTTGCAAGGTCACTGGAACAGCACCCTCAATATTCACCTTATGGGTTTCTGTTTTATCATATTCTTCTTGAACTATGATCCATGAAAAGTTCTCTCCTAGTAGGAATTTTTTTAATATCACTGGATTCCCAGCATCATCAATGGCAAAGTTACTTTGCTTCTTGTGCTGTGCTTGTTGTTCTGTTCAACCTTTATGAAAGGAGGCCAAATTCTAATCTCTCAAYCAAACCAGGTTTTTCTACTACMTGTTATACAAAAGATTGTTGGACTACTACTATTTGATGGTCAATGTGACTACTACTTTAAAGGCAGCAGTTACTCAATGTACAGTCTTAAAACATATGGAATGTTAATCGAAGATTAACTCTTACTTACTATACTTGCTCTAGTAGTAGTCACATGCAAAACCTTCAAATCTATTAGTAGTGCTATGAAAAGTACTGCTGCTTGGTGGTGATTCTAGTATTAGTACTCCTATTACTATTTGTTACTTTGTACTACTACTAAAAATTTTACAATACAAGTACTGGTACTAGCTCTGACAGTACTAGTTTGCTCTTCTTGACAAGCAGTACTTATGGATGGTCCTGATACCATCAGCTTGTTGTGCTAGTACTTGACTCTTCAGGCAGGATCAAACCAGCCATTTTCTCCAGGAGAGAAGAGATAGTAGAGGAGAACACTAAGGATTTCAATCTAGTATGGGTATGCTAGTGGACTCATGCAATGGCCAGGGTCTTCCTCTAAAGAAGTGCCATGGTATACTAGACTAAAGAAAGGTCTACAAAGAGATTCTTGTACAGTACCAGTACTGAAAGCTTCTTGTCTTTGGTCCACCAGCTTTCATCAATGATAATGTAATCAGCTCCACCTGTTGTTGTATTTCAGTATAAAACCCAAAGGGAGAGGCCCAGGGGTATGGATTCAGCAAGTTGTGCCTGTAAGGGCTACTAATACTATAACCRTGTTGATAACATTTGGGCTCATATCTACCATGATATGAAGTAGCACTAAGTAAATCAAGTTCCTAAGAAACATCCTCTGTTTGTACTCCATTAATATACCTTGGCCATACTGGTGAGTCCCAACCATACTCATACTTGATGCAACAGGATTGTCAATATCTCTTGCATTGTTCAACTGGATGACACCAGCAGAAATGAGATTATTCGGCTTGGGCGAATATACTTTTTCATGAAACTAGGCCACCAGGATAAGCTTTATAATGATTGAGGAAGCTGCCACTGACAAACATACGTATGCACATACAAAAAGACATTATTCTACACATGTATAAATACTTGTACGTACCATACTGTCTAGTAGTGGTACTGTGCTAATACTGGCTGATCCCTTACTACAGGATAAATAATTAGTGATATAAATAAACAATACTAACTATGTGAGCTTCATCATGGCAAGATATCATATTCCTGTCTATTGGTGCCAATGGGGGGTATGTGAAACTAAATTAAAGGTTTAAATAATATTTTTTCACAATGATATGTCCCTCACATTGATTTTGGACCCTTGCCAGCAAATACTGGTATTTTGTCCGTGTGTGGACCATCATTCCCAAAATATCATTAATTAGTACAACAAAAGGATACCTTTTGCTATTGGTGCCAGGGGGGGATGTGATGCTAAATAGATTCACCTGACACTCTATTTTGAGCAAGTTATGATAGTGCTCACAATATGACTGGTTTTTGAGCAAATTTTGGTGTTGACCCAGTGAGGAGTCTCTTCTTCCACCATGACTAAAAGAGGTGTCTCAAAAGAAAGATAAAATTCTTTCATATTGGTGCCATGGGAGGTATGTGATGCTAAATATAGTGATCTAACTCCCTTTTTTGACCAAGTTATGACCCTCACAGTGATTTTGTTCCTGGGCTGATATTAGTGCATATGCTGTTAAAATATTATGATWTTGGTTCTAGGCAGCAGATACTAGTATTAATGCTGTCAGATTAGTATKTTGTCTAAATAGCAATAAAACAATGCTAGGGGTATTAATTGTGACCAACAAAACACTTTTTATGCATTTTATCAAACCATGTAACATTTGTAAGCTCAAGCTTTGTCATTTTATCTATATCATACTAGCTTGCTGGTGGATTGTTGACATTACAAGCATCTCCAAGAAGCTTTGAAAATTTTTATCATGGAATGTAATCACTCTGAATTGAAGTATAAGCTGTGAAAACCAGCAAAAGCTACTAGCATGGCACCAAGTGRATTTGACATCAGACAATCCTTGTTTTCCTTTCTCCAACCGACGTATGCATGGGTTGAGCCTGCAAAAACATCCATAGATGGAAGCATAGATCAATGATGAATGATGGTAGCCCAGCCTGTTGCCAATATACATTTACCAAATGGGATGACAGCTTCAGACTATTACCATCCTCTATAGCTGTAGCAAGAATTTCTGCCTCAATACTATCCAAAGTCACTATTGGCTTCCTACCACATGTGATTTGTGCCCTGTCACCAGTATATTTTGTACCATTTGCTCTGCAATGGGATACCTCTTCAATAACTGAGCATACTGCACATCTGAAGGCCTTYGATGGTTTTGGTTGAATGCCTTAGCATTAGTTAAAACTTTTTTTGTTCCTTCCATTGAGCCTGCGATGGTGCACCCAACACATATTCAAAATAAACTGCAATAGCAACTTGAATATTCTTTTCTGACGCTGAAGCAGCTTCCTCCAAAGTTGACATATTTGTCAATACTAAGAATACTGTCATCGTCACAATCACTGGCACAGGAATTGTCATCATCACTACTAGTACTAGCATCAGAAAGATACTCCAAGTAGTCAACTCCTTTTGACCTGCCAGAACCAGTAGTGGTCGGAGTGTTGACCATYGCATTGCCAGCATCTATGGGCAATACTACTGATGCAGCTGAGGCTTTTTTTAAGGCTCTTGATTGCAACATATCAGCAAGCTTAGCTTCTGCTTTGTTGAAAATGACAATTTCAGCAGCAGCTTTCCTAGCTTGGGAACAGTCAATGCGCTTTGGACGGTCATGGTGTTTCCGCCTTGAGCAATTATTGGAAGAAGCACAAGAATGCTTCTTCAAGAAAATTGAGTATCAATATGCAACTGGATCCTTAGTTTGCTTGGTCCTCAGCAACTAAACATTAACAGTGTGGTCACTCTTGTTGCACAAACTGCTCAATTTTCTTGACAACAAATTAACAGTAGCTTGAATGCTGTAAACACCAGAGGCTGGATACAGAGGATTGATCCAGAGGCTAGATGCAGAGGCTTGATATGATACAGATGGGGAGGCTAGATGCAGAGGCTTGATAAGGTACCGATGCAGAGGCTTGATAGTATGATGTGGATGAAGACGCTTGATATGGAGGGGATGTATGATAGATCTTAGATTTCTTTTTATAGTGGATTGAAAGAAGATTGTGAGCATAACAGGGACACCAATTGAAACAACAATAAGTGGAGGTGCACAAAAATCCACTTTCTTTGAAGATTGAACATGTCATGGCAGATTTTCAGAACCCATTGATCTCAGTACAAATCGTACACAGAAGAAGGTATTGTCAGTCTGGAGTACCACACACAGTAGCAACAGACGGTGGCTGTGTACA